TAGCCATTTCTCCAGGACTCCCCAGTTGGTTGGATTGATTCTTGGCAGAGAATGCAGCCCTAGGTGCTGTTCCATAGAGGGCCTTATGAGTAGAAACCAGCACTTTGAATTGTATCTGGAAACTGATTGACAACCAATGCAGGGCCTGTAGCAAAGGCATAATGTGTTCCTGGTAGAAACTGTTGGTGAACAAACTGTAATGGGCTGTGAGAATAACCCTGAGAGATAGGAGGAACAGCTGCAGCCTAGACAACGGCCTGGTAAGAGAAATTTGACTCCAAAGCAGGAATGGGGTGGAGAAAGTGTCTCTGAATTGACCTTCCTTAGTTCTCTGGAACATAAAGAAAGGAGAGCAGGAAAGTGTTTTCAGATTTGCAAGATTCTGTTACTGTAACCTTACAATAAAGGTAGTGTGAGTATTCTTGGTTCTGGTTTCCTGTTCTGGACTATCTTGAAGGGCTGACCCCAACCAGCTTCCTGTATCTTGTACCAACTGCACTTTCCAAAGCGTCTTTGGAGGCAGCGCCATGGAGTATGTGTTGTAGTAGTCACCGTCCATTATGTTATATGGAGGCCTGCCTTGGAAGACGTTAGTGGAAATTTCAAATAGTCTAAATTATAGTTTCTGAATTGCTGACTGGAACCAATGAAACAGAGCACGTTTCTCCAATCTTAATCCACCACCGCTTGGCTACTTCTCTCCTTTTAAATTGATGTTAAACAACTGTGTAAGTACTCAAGCACATGGGTACGCACACCCTCACAGAGATCATATTTACTGACATTGGGAACCTTTATTTCTAAGTTGCTGGGGATAGTGAAGTACTTGCAAGTAAAATTGTTCCTGAAAAATAAAAGTATTCTATGGGGTTTATGGTTTCTAAAAAATGAGTGTCTGGGATAGCATCTGGCTCACTTCATCTGGAAACAAGATATGGGGGGGTGAAGCCCGGTTGGTAATTAGACGGGATAATATCAAGGAATTCCAGGACTGTTGGCTAGACTGGGAAGTCAGGAAAAAATCTTGATAAAAGTCAATGGCAAACCTCTTCCACATCGCTGAAAAGGAAACCGCATGGATAAATTTGATATGGGAAGACATTTCACAAATGCTTAGAATAATCTCAGTACCCTCAAATATTAATTATTTAAAATGTAATCCAGATCAAGCGGGCAAGATCAAGACATCTTTCTTATTAAAACACAGTTTGGTATGTAGAGTTGTTTTTACACTGAGTAGGAGATTGGTTCTTCTTAAAGCTAAAGTTTTATGGATTTGTGACTCGTCTCCTCCCTCCCTCCCTCCCTCCTCCCATCCATCCATCCATCCATCCATCCATCCATCCATCCATCCATCTTGCCTGCCTGATTGCCTGCCTTTCTAAACCTTCTGAGGTGGGGATGGACAATCCCTGTCTTAAAGCACCATTGCCTACTGTATTGCTGATGGCACCCAAGCTTTGTTCTGGTCCTGTTGCAGAAAACATAGATGGTAAAACTGTATTTAAAAAGCATAATGCTAAATTTTCTTACCTGTTCCAAGAAACAAAACATGGTATCTTCCATCTGCAGCACTGACACGATCAACTGCTAGCTTTGTATACTTGTAGTCCGTGCCTGTCCGAACAATTAATGGCCTCTTATGGACTGGATAGATGGAATTAAACATCAAGGGATGATTCCTGATGAAGGTGACCACATCATCTGGAAACTCCTTGGTTGTCCGAATGTTGGGTGTGAAGGCTCCTCCAGGACACTACAAAAGGCACCAACAATCATCAACTACACCAAAGATGTTTCAATTCCCAACCTTTATAATCTCTCCTCAACTGTACAAGTGTGCATCACTTCACATTATTTCTTGGAATAAGGTGGGAACATCTAAATCGGCAAGAGCTGATTGCTGTTTGATTTATGCATGCTTCATCCAAGTTTTCATTTCATTGAAATACTGTTAAAGATATGCTTGAAGAGCTATACTAGTAAAATTCTCTTTCTTATGCCATTATCAATTCCATATGAATTTATGAATCCCCGATAAAGAATATATTTGTGGTTGGGATGTATACAGTCTTCACTAACTTGATCCAGCCAGCTGAAGTAGATGTATTTCTGGAGGGAAATATGCATTAGATTGCCTCATTGGTTTCCTTGGATGTGTCTGATGTACAAAAGCAATATAGTCACACTGATAATTACCAACTATCCACAAGAAGACACAGCAGCTCGATTAAGGTCCTACAACTTTTAATTAGCTCCATATTGCAATGGTTTGTCATCACCTTGCACATCTTCTCCCAGTTTTATTTCTAGCACCCTAACCTTAAAAGTATGAATAACTGTGATGATATAAGAATAGTGTGCATGCTATATACTGGCAGAATACCACACTGAAAGTTAGCTGAAATAGGAAATAAGATCTCGATGGCTGAAATCCTTTTAACATTGGTCATAGCTCCATTGTCTCCAAGTCTGCCCTCAGCTGGATCTTGGAACATCCCTATCTGAAATGTAACAATGAAGGGTTATGGGACAACATATCTTTGAATGGAGATTGCTTCTAAAAAGAAATAAACTATGTCATTAGACTAATGGAAAACCCTCAGATTTGCTTATTCTGTAAGGGCAATGCAACAAATGTTGGTATAGCACAGCCATCAATCTCTTACACAGATGCACCTCTTAACAAATAAATTGCCTTTCATAGCAGCTTATTGGATTGAGATGTAAGCCACGTCATGCTTTTATCAAACCCATCACATAAATACCACGCGTTAACAGTTTCCTGTAGTTAATGTACAAGGAAATAATGGTAAGACATTGTGCATTTACAGAGAAAGACTAAGATGTCCATTAAAGGCAATGTGAAAGCCAAATCGGCTTGATGCAGTTGAACATTTTGGTCAAAAAAATCATGTGACCGCCAACCACTTCTGCATCTGGGTACTTCCAAAATAAGCAAGCAAGCAAAGTAAGAAAGAAAGATTATCCTTAAATGAGGCATCTTGTCTTTTTTTCTCTCACCTCTGTAAGGATCCGAGCTTTAGATTCCTACATTTAAGGCCAGCATCTTAGCTGTTCTTTGGTTGTACTTGCCAGATGTCCCAAGGCTTGAACTGGAACAACAGAGCAAGCCAAATCAACTACTTCTGATTTACAGTCCATTTTTTCCACGAAAAAAAATATCCTCAGGGTTCGTGAAACTGGAGACATGGGAGTCGTCGCAGCACCAAGCAAATGAAGTTGATGTATCAAGCCAAGGAACTTCGGCTCTTTTAGTTGCTAACCTTCCATCTCCTAAACCTAGGACAACATCTGCATACTGAGAACTTCTAACCTGGGCCTCAACTTTTCCTGCAGAAAAGAAATGTCTCTGAGTTTTCAGAGCAGTGAGGAGGGGATGTCTCTGCATGGTACTTATCGCAAGCAGGTACCCAATATTTTAGTTTTCCAAGGGCGGGTCCCAAAATTTTAACTTTTAGGATTACAGTTCAACAGTTTTCTGTCTAATTATTCCCACAGTCCTGTTCTAGTTCAACATGGGAAATTGTCAACCTTGTCTCAGGGCAATAGTATAAACACCAAAGTTGTGCTATCAGGCTTTCCTCTCTAAAACATGGCTAGAAAAGCAGAAAACCTGGACCATTGCATACACATGATTCATCTATACACAGGGAATTAAAAAAAAAGGTAACGTATTCTTGATTTAAGCTTGACTCAGTGATTATATTTTTCTTGACAGGGACATGGAATTGGGTTGGCATTGCCTTCTAAGATTTTTTTGGGGGATGGGGCTTGTTTGCAATAGATGAATGGACTCAACCGCTCAAAACTGACTATATCTACCATACTCTTCTTTCCTTGCCATTCAATCCCAGGGATAGTCTCTTACAGATGCGATGATGTAAGGCTCATAATTTATCCATGACATGCTACAGCTCCAGATAATGATTTGTGTCAAAGTCTACGTGACAAAGGAGATTTAAGACACAGTCTCCAACCCAGCATGTACCAGTACATTACATCATTAAGGTTTTCTATAACTCACAGTTGACCATGGCAAAAATATCTGCACTGATGCCAAAGCCTACAGGTCTTTAGCATTGCTAAGTGAATATATAATATTACTTAATCTTACTCTATTTCATTTGAACTGTTGCTGAAATGGCTGTCTTTAGAATGTAAGCAAATAAGATCAAGGCCCAGCTAATCCACAATTCTATTTCCAAAAAAGTAGAGGCCACAGAAAAACATACCATACTGACATTTAAAAAAAAATAATAATAACTGGGCTATATTCATGGAAAAATATTAAATGCTTACTTCTAGTCTATATCAAGGCTGAAGTTCTAAACCAAGAAATCTCTAAATCTACATTTAAGGAATTGGATCAAAGTGTTCACTGACTACAAAGGACTTGCAATGGAATGTTGAAAACATAAATGTGAAATAGATTTCTTTTTTTGCTTGTTAAGAAATGAAAAGCCAACTAACACAAGAACTCAGATGTAACTAAAAACCATGTTTTTTCCCCCTAGTATGCTTTGGGCGTCATCAAGTGCTTTTGTTTCAGATGACTGCTATTTTTTATTTTTCATAAGAAAGTTGAACAAATACAATGATTTCCAAATATGGTCCCATTCTGAAGATGGGGCCAAAAGAAAAATGCAAAGATGTTCACTTTTAGTCAAACGGTTTATTCCCTGAATCGAACAGCCAAGCTATATAGTTCGACATTCCATGTAGCACAAATTGTCTCGTACTGCACAATTTCAAAATGGAGTAGAGGAATTTTTGTATGTTAGATTTTCATGAATGCAATGTTTCTCCATGGGCTAGTTTGCAATGGCAGGGAAATGGGTTTTCACTAAGAAGTCTAGCATACCAGGGACGAGAAGAATGGAAAGCATCAAACTTCCTTCTACCTGCCAAGTACAGTTTCAAACCTACAGTATATATTCATGAGCAACAAATAAATATATTTTTGATTGTATCATGAGCATGGAGGAATTAGTCTCCATGGTTTCTAGACACTCTCTCTTTCTCTACCAAGAGACTGATTTCTTGCTATGGTGATAATTGTAGCATTGGTAGTAATAGTTACTAAGAATAGCAAATCTATCTATCTATCTATCTATCTATCTATCTATCTATCTATCTATCTATCTATCT